TCAAACGCATAGGTGAACAATCGAATATTATTGTGACAATCGCCTCGTAGCTTTCGCGCGTTTTATTTGATTGTTTACGAATTATTCACGTACGCGAAAATGCAGGAAGGGTTTTGAGCGCTTGAAATGCGGATGTAAAACGCGGCAACGAGTCGCACGAGTTTTACACGCCGGGATGTAAAAATATCTGTGAATGGTGCGCGGGTTGGAGTATTTTTTTAGATAGCGTTCCGCACGTTATCACGCGAGCGTTTTGTGGGAGATTCATCGATCAGTCAAATTTTATGATATCTGTACGAATCGTGAGACGTATTATTAATACACGGGCGTGTCATTGATCTGAACGAGCGCAGCCGCGATATAAGTCTCGGCAGTTATTCCGTTATCAGTTAATATATAAGTGTAACAACAACGAAATCATATCAATGGAAAGAGGAAACGAAGCGAGGGAGAGAAGGAGAGGAAGAGACGAAGGTGCGAGGTGTAGCGCGGTTCAGCACACTTTTCTCGTAAAAATCATAAAGCTCATAATAGCGTGGCGAATCGATTAGTTCCGGCATAAATCTCCCGATCTCGACACACCGCGCAAACACGCCGCTTGAATACGCACCGCCGAACCGCCTCTATACTTGTGCGAGATATACCTACTCCCTTAATGCGGGGAGTGGCAAGTTCGCGCGACGGAAAAAAAGAAACCGCTTAATAGAAAACCAAACCGACGGTTTCGTCCCGCGAACCGATAACTGTACGCTCAAAGTGCATGGGTTATCCTGCATACCGGGCGATAAACCTGCTTCTTCAGCACGTCGAGACTTTTAATTGTAGAAAAAACGCTACTTCACGCGCTCGCGGCGAGCTTTTAGCTCTTTGCACATAAACAATTCGTACTTCCTTTAAATACTTATTCGAAATTTTTATTTTAAAAAATACACAGCGGTTTGATTCTCGAACTTAAATCCGGCCTTTAATTAAATTTCAGATGACTTGAATTCGTGACATTCACGTTTCAGTAACGCGGATTTTCAAGCGATCGAATTATACTTCTTTCGATTACGCTTGAAAACATATATACTGTTATTTTGTGCCCCAATCTGTGTCAGACATTGAACAATTACATGACATATTTACGACTAATGCTCATATATTTATATTAGAGAGTCGTCAGATAAATAATGCAATTTTATATGAATAAGAAATGAAGGGAGCAGATTATTTTGTAGTCAAAGGAAGCGTTTTCAATTTGTTTTCAAAAAATATGAACTATGAGAATGTATAAAAGAACACAAAGTGCGTACGTAGTTACGTTCGGCTAAAGTTATTATCCGGAATCTCTCTCGTCGCCCAGAGACAATATCTATCGCTTGCCTATATTTAAATTCGCGTAAAACTATGTCACTTAAATTCGGAGCTTACCGTATCTTTCTTACGCGCAATACCGAGTGTCCCAGATATATTGTATATTAGCTTGGAACAAAAGTTCGTAGCGCTATCTTATTTGTATCGCGTATACAAAGTTTCGTAAAATATTTGGCGATTATAACATTCGGGTGGAGCAAAATTTTAAAATCTTCAAAATCTGCTTCTCTAATTGCAATACGGTAAACTTTCTTAATCAGAGTTACAAGCGATCAAAGTCAAAATGCTCCTTTATTTAATTCGCAATAACTCAATAACAAAAAATGTTAGGAATATTTTTTAAAAACGATTTTGTGGGGAAAGCTTTCACTTTAAGCTTTCACATTAGAAAGCAAAAAAAATGTTCGCAAATTCTTTTTGGGAGTACGGGACAAGTTCACAAAGTAAAAAGAAAATTTTCCCATTTTGTCTAACATATAATTTTCTGCATATGTATGTATAAAAAATTACCACACTTACAGAAACTCGAAAAATATACTGATCTTTTTTGAAAAATTTTAAGCTTTAAAACCTTTTATTTTCATTTAAATTTCATTTATTTTTTGTAAAGTTACAACTGTTTAAATTCGTAGCGCTATGAATTTTGATTTCAATCTATTATTTCCATGAGGTTATTTAATAAATTCGAGAATCAAAAATTAATTTAGTCAACTAATTGAAGTCTACACCACTTAATACTTTACGAACATCTAAGTCTAGATTTTAAAATCATCAATTCCCTCTCTTAGACTTTGAAACCATCTTTTACACTTAAAGTAAAATTTGAAAGTTTATGTAATGCAAACAAGACACGTTGTACAAGAAAATCAGTATTTCATTTTTAGAATTTCGATTTAACTGAGTTTTTAGAGCCTAAGGAGTCTCGATATGTAAAAAAAAAAAAATTCTAGCAATTAAATAAATTAAATTAAAGGAATTTAATACGTGATGCCAACTTTACAGTTTTTGTCATTTTAAATGAAATAATGCTTTTTGATACAACTCGTACTCATGTAAAATTAAAGTAACCCAAGAAAATATCAGACTCTCGAAAAAGAATTTAATTCATGATAATATAGAAAGTTCCTACCGAAGAGCCGAAAAATTCAGTCAGAAATCATTCAATCGTATTTTTTCCAAAATATTTGAAGTAGAAATGAGGATGAAAATAGGAAGAAGAGAAGCGTGAATCAACTCTTTGGCTCTTCTTACCTGGGAGCATTGATGATCGGCCGGCCCATTGCCCGTTGCTGGCGCTTCTCGTTGACGGGAAGGCGCAGATAATCCTGGTCGCCAAGGAGGAACAAATCCTTTGAAATAATCATGTCCACCGCGGTGGCTGCTGATTAACAGCTGGCCGCCTCTCCTGGTTCGGTTCTCCTAAAAGGGCGATCCGCCGCTTGGACAACGTGGCACGTAGACGTTGTGGCCGTCACACACGAGTTAATTAGAGCCTCACTTTCCCGGCACCGCAAATCACGTTCATCGATGATCAGAACGGACCAGCTACTCGGCACGGACGCGCACTCGACGCCGACGTTAGCGTCCTCGCCGAACTTCGCGGTAATTGCGGAGCGATTTGCGGAAACCGTCGCGACGATAAGATCTCACACGTTACACGACGACTGTCGGATGCAGAGACGGACGAGACGAAATCCAAACGGTGACGGTGGATGATCTAGTGACTGCGATTGGATCTTGAATGACTATGTTGTTCTATCGTCAATTTTAACGCGTAGGTGTACGATTCTTAGCGATTGTGCGTTTCCCTTTCCACGGAGCCGATCGGTCTACGAAGGCACGACGACCGAGTTCGATCATTCGAGGAGCACGGATGGCGGGATTCTGGGCACTGAGAACGTCCGCGCGATCGTTTCGTTGGATCGCGATATCTCTTCGAGAAGGGGTCTTTTCCCGGCTGGACCCGAGAAAGCTCTTGAGTCGACTCTGACAGAGCCAATCGGTCTTCGGAGATTAGAACTTTAAGTCCAGCTCCTTTTCGTCGTACAACGTGTTACATCGCACGTTGGATTCCGTTGGATATACATTAAAGGATCGATGCGATGGTTTTTCGATGTCGAGCTTCTTAAGAGAACGAATGTGTTCGAGCGAATATGGGTCGCAAAGTTTCGCGCACAGAGATCGAGAAGTATTTTTCTCAACTTGCTACCTTTCTTCGTTCAATGCAATCATAAATGAATGTTGTTTTCTCCTGGAACATAAAATAAGAAACACATACATTAAACTTTGTCTGTAAAGAATACAATTGTTATACGTATTTGTGTAAATATTGCAACTAAAATTCGATGTTATTAAATTTCCAGTCTATGATTTGCGATATTAGGTTTATTATTTGAAAAATTTGCGTATGAGTTATTTAACTTTGCATTAAAATAATAAAACCACTCCATTCTTACAAATATCAGAAATGGAATTATAATCTTTATTTAATTATATTTAATTTCGTATTTATTATAATTTCTAATTAAACTAGTTATTAATAAGATCGCAATCTGAACTTAGAAAAATATGCACTAAATAAATTAATTATATTATCCTCGTGTCTTATGAATAATTCAATATTATATACTTTACATATTTTTTAGAAATAAAAATAGTATTAAAATAAATTAGATGAAAATACACAGAATGCATTTTTGAAGATCCGTTTATATATTTATATAATCAATTTTCTTCAAAACCGTAATAAATATAAAATAATTTCTGGATTTTAAATGCTCCTGTATGTGCACGAATCTTTGTGTTTAAATCTATTCTAAAATTATTTAAAACGATTACGGAAACGTAGTAATATCAAATCCGGTGTAGAAACATGCAAAAATAGATCTTTATTATTTTATTCCCTTCCACAAACATCGCATCGAACACCGCAAAAAACTGAAAGTATCGTGCCGAAATAGTCAAAAATATCATCTATGCGATTTACTAATATAACGCATTTTTTATTGAAAATGTTGCGTCCTCCCCCCCAAACGATGATATAAAAAAAAATCACGTTACATTGCGTCGAATATAGTCGTAGTCACGCACGATAGAATACAACACTATACATATATATCTCGTTTAATTTACTTCTAACAACGCTCGTATTAATTAAATCCAGCCAAAGATCATTTGAGAAATAGAACACGATGTCACCGACCTACACCATTTCACACTCGACGTATTGCTTGCAAGAACTTATTTTGTATTTGCATTAATTTTCGCATGCCAACTGGTATTAGTCACGGGTGAACGAGTCGCTCGAATTCGAGTATTAACTAAGGTTTTGACAGATGTCTCTAATCTAGTAGCTTGTTCAATCGAAAATCGTCGCGGTTGGAAACCATGATTCAGTTGAAATGCGTTCATTTCGTCGATCATTGCCGTTTTCCTATGCAATTTAATTACTTTAGAGCAACGATACAGAATATGAGCTAATCGTGACGTTTACAAACGTAACATAACATGTTACGTGAGTAGAACACGAAACATTTTCTCCTTCAACGTAAACCAGGATTATAGAGCTAATCTGGATATAGACAATCCATTTAATTTAATTCTTTGATAAACATTGTTTGTCAGGTATAACCTTTTATTTTTCTTCTTCTACAGTGATAATCGTTTAGGACTAAATAATTATAAATAATTACATTCCTTCGGAAAAATTCTTAAGATCATTCTCTTTTACAATATTAATTTATACACTGTCAAAAATAAAATGTTAATTTTAACTTAAAGACGCACAGTGGATTTTCTGAGACATGGAAAAATGTTAAAATTAACGTCTTTAAGTTAAAATTAACATTTTATTTTTTCACAATTTTTATACAAAAATTTATTCTTAATATATATATATATATATATATATTTTTTTTTTTTAATGT